TAAGTGAGCGGCCACACAGGGAATACCCCTGAGGTTGTGTCAGACATCCTCTGAAGGCCGTGACGTCATTGCGTAGGGTGGAGCTTAGAGTATATAAAGTGAAGGCGTTCTCCGTTCTCCATCAGTTAGAAGCTCATCTTCAACATGTCTCCCAAGGTAAGCGAGTCAGGTTGACTTGCAACTGATAAGAGACAGAATGGAAACTAGGCTATATATCGCGATAGCCGTAATTATCTATTTATTTACCTTTATTTTTATGTAATGTTTCAGTTCATCATCATTGCCGCCCTTGCGGTCGTGGCCCTCGCCCGCCCTGATCAGGCCCCAGCTTATGGCTATGCAGCCCCTACACCTGCTCCTGCACCTGCCAAGTACGACTTCAACTACGCCGTCAAGGACGAGTATTCCGGTAACGACTTTGGCCACCAAGAGGCCCGCGACGGTTATGACACCCAGGGTTCCTACTACGTTCAGCTTCCCGACGGTCGTCTGCAGAAGGTCACCTACACTGTCAACGGCGACTCTGGCTTCGTGGCCGAGGTCAGCTACGAGGGCGAGGCGCAGTATCCTGCCGAACAGCCTGCTTACAAGCCCGCCCCCTCATATGCTTAGATCGCAAATCAAGTTCGGCTGTGATAATATTTATTAAGAAGACCCTTTACATTGTATATTTGTAAATAAATCATGAAAATGAGTTTTGTTTGTTAGTAGAGCCATGGATGAAAGAAAAACAAATATCTTTTGAGGTGTAAGTGATGTAAACATAGTCTGTATATACATTGGAAAATCTATTCTCTTCTACTCTATATAAAAGGTTGATTTACATAAGACTCTTAAATGTATATGCCTACACACATATACAAACACGCATACAGATAACCACACATATACATATATTTATACATACATACGCACACACATAAATGTTTTTATAGATAAGATACAGATAGAATACATATATCGAAAGTATATTTATATATGCGATATTTTCATATATTCATTTATATGTATAAAAACCCATATACAGATCATGACGTTTTGAACTAAGGCAATGAACACGAAATTTAGAATGAAAGGATTACGTGGGTTGAAAAGCAGGTGTGAATGAAGCAAACGATACCTTAAGGAAAAAAAAATATATATATATCACCGATGGAAGTAATTACTATTGAACAATGGCTATGCCTTCATTGAACCCCATTGCTCAAATTATACCGGGAAACAAAATGAATACATCTGAGTAGGATAGAAAAAACAAAAAAACAAAAAACACTCGGGGCTTTTGTTTATGAGACTTTTGCTGCACTTTCTCCAACTTTCCCTGGTATATATATCTCACTTTAGTAGGTGTCACCATAAATTAATAGAAGTGATGAAATTAATATCAATAATGCTAGCTAGGAGGGGGGGGATAAGCACAAAACTATTTTTTATTTATTTATTTTACAGGGAACAGTTTACTACTGACGGATATCGTGTAAAGTAAAATAAAAAAAAGTAATATCCTGACCAATATCCTAATCTATCCATCCTCGATAACAGCCAAGTAGAAATTAAACCATTTTTATCTAGAGCGGATGGGTGTGAATATTAGTCAGAAAGTGTCACACATCTATATACTTGTGTATCGCGTAATATCACCCTGTAAATATAAACTATTCCGTTATGTGAAGTGAATAGAAGAACCGCCACAAGGTCACTCTGAACTCTTTGGAATCTTGATCCATTTCATCACAGAGGCCCCTATTTCCCCTGAAAAATGTATTGGGGGATGATTGTGCCATAACTCTCAATAGTTTTGTGAAGGAGACAAATATGTTAAACAAAATTGAATTAAACATATTTATGCAGTATTTTTATACTTTTCAAGCATGATATTTATACTGTGATTTTTAATATAATACTTAGTATTATTTATTTTTCCCAAAATCTTGTATACACACATTGTCCACATATTAGATATTTATATGCGTTATTATATATATATATGTATACAAAATTGTGTATAAATACATCTATACATACCTATCAGATGCATGTGTATACATAAACATTAGCAATGAATGTATGCAAGTTTTTATACTCATAAACATTTACTGTGCATAACTGTGTGTGAAATTTGTCTACACTTGCATAAATTACACATGTATTTTGGCGAATATATAAATTAGTGTATATATTTATATATTGCATATATATGTTAAACATATCATATATATATAATTATACATAGGCATACATAAATACATGCGTTTATGTGGATGGATAAATACGCTTAGCACGTTTATTTGGAGCCTTACTTTTCTACTGTTTTCTATATATGAACATATATATATTGTAGTTTTAGGTAGAGCAAATGTACTTTTTATCAAGATTTTTCATTATGAAGAGCAGCTACTGTCGCTACTAATAACGGAAATGGAAAAATATATTCATATATTACATTCATATTTGATAAATATAATAAAATAGCGAATGATAAGTGAACGGCCACACAGAGAATACCCCTGAGGTTGTCAGACATCCTCTGAAGGCCGTGACGGCTTTGCGTAGGGTGGAGCTTAGAGTATATAAGGTGAACGCGTTCTCCGGTCTGCATCAGTTAGAAGCTCATCCTCAACATGTCTCCCAAGGTGAGTCAGGTTGACGTGCAATTGATAAGAGACACAATGGAAACAAGGCTTTATATCGCGATAACCGTAATTATTTATTTATTTATCTTCATTTTTATGTAATGTTCCAGTTCATCATCATTGCCGCCCTTGCGGTCGTGGCCCTTGCCCGCCCTGATCAAGCCCCATCCTATGGCTATGCAGCCCCTACACCTGCTCCTGCACCTGCCAAGTACGACTTCAACTATGCTGTCAAGGACGAGTACTCCGGTAACGACTTTGGCCACCAAGAGGCCCGCGACGGTTATGACACCCAGGGTTCCTACTACGTTCAGCTTCCCGACGGTCGTCTGCAGAAAGTCACCTACACTGTCAACGGCGACTCTGGCTTCGTGGCCGAGGTCAGCTACGAGGGCGAGGCGCAGTATCCTGCCGAACAGCCTGCTTACAAGCCCGCTCCCTCATATGCTTAGATCGTAAATCTAGTTCGGCTGTGATGATATTTATTAAGGAGGCCCTTTACATTGTATATTTGTAAATAAATCATGAAAATGAGTTTTGTTTGTTAGTAGAGCCATGGATGAAAGAAAAACAAATATCTTTTTGAGGTGTAAGTGATGTAAACATAGTCTGTATATACATTGGAACATCTATTCTCTTCTACTCTATATAAACGGATGATTTACGTAAGACTCTTAAATGTATATGCCTACACACATATATACAAACACGCATACAGATAACCACACATACATATATTTATACATACATACATACGCGCACAAATATACTTTTTTATAGATAAGACAGATAGAATATATATATATATCGAAAGTATATATATATGTGATACATTCATATATTCATTTATATGTATACACACCCATATTCAGATCATGGCTTTTTGAACTAAGACAATGAACAAGAAATTTAGAATAAAAGGATTACGTGGGTTGAAAAGCAGGTGTGAATGAGTCAACCAATACCTTAAAAAAAAAAAAAAAAATCACCGATGGAAGTAATTACTTACTATTGAACGATGGCTATGCCTTCATTGAACCCCATTGCTCAAATTATGCCGGGAAACAAAATGAATACATTTGAGTAGGATAGAAAAAAACAAAAAACACTCGAGGCTTTTGTTTATGAGACTTTTGCTGCACTTTCTCCAACTTTCCCTGGTATATGTATCTCACTTTAGTAGGTGTCACCATAAATTAATAGTAGTGATGATATAATAGTGGTGAAGTTAATATCAATAATGCTAGCTAGGAGGGGGGAGAATAAGCACAAAACAATCTTTTATTTATTTATTTTACAGTTAACAGTTTACTACTGACGGATATCGTGTAAAGCAAAAAAAAAAAAAAAAAAAAAAAAAAAAAGAAAGAAAGAAAAAAAACGTAATATCCTGACCAAGATCCTAATCTCCCATCCCAGATAACAACCAAATAGAAATTAAACCATTTTTGTTTACAGCGAATGGATGTGAACACTAGTCAGAAAGTGTCACACATCTATGTATATACACCTGTGTATCGCATGATACCACCTTGTAATTATAAACTATTCCGTTATGTGAAGCGACTAGAAGCGTCACAGGGTTACTCTGAACTCTTTGGAATCTTGATCAAAGAGGCCCCTATTTCCCCTGAAAAAAGTATTGGGGGATGGTTGTGCCATAAGTCTCAATAGTTAACTGAGGGAGACAAATACATTAAACAAAATTTAATTAAACGTATTTTATGCAGTATTTATACTGTGATTTTTAATATAATGCTTAGTATTATTTTTCCCAAAATCTTGCATACACACATTGAGCACATATTACATATTTATATGTATGTTTATATATACATATATATACAAAATTGTGTATGAATATAATCATACATACCTATCAGATGTATGTTTATACATAAACATTAGCAATATATGAATGCAAGTTTTTATACTCATAAACATTTTCTGTGCATAACTGTATGTGAAATTTGTCTTCACTTGCATAAATCACACATGAAATTTGGCGAATGTATAAATTAGTATATATATCTATATATTGTATATACATGGTATATATATCATATATACAATTGTATATAGGCATACATAAATACATGCGTTTATGTGGATGGATAAATACGCTTAGCACGTCTGTTTGGAGTCTTACTTTTCTACTGTTCTCTATATATGAACATATATATCGTAGTTTTAGGTAGAGCAAGTGTACTTTTTTTATCACGATTTTACATAATGAAAAGCAGCTACTGTCGCTACTAATAATGGAAGTGGAAAATATTTCTATACATTACATTCATATTTGATAAATATAATAAAAGAGCGAATGATAAGTGAACGGCCACACAGGGAATACCCCTGAGGTTGTGTCAGACATCCTCTGAAGGCCGTGACGTCATTGCGTAGGGTGGAGCTTAGAGTATATAAAGTGAAGGCGTTCTCCGTTTTCCATCAGTTAGAAGCTCATCCTCAACATGTCTCCCAAGGTAAGTGAGTCAGGATGACTTGCAATTGATAAGAGACAGAATAGGAAACTAGGCTGCTTATATCGCGATAGCCGTAATTATCTATTTATTTATCCTTTATTTTTATGTAATGTTTCAGTTCATCATCATTGCCGCCCTTGCGGTCGTGGCCCTCGCCCGCCCTGATCAGGCCCCAGCTTATGGCTATGCAGCCCCTACACCTGCTCCTGCACCTGCCAAGTACGACTTCAACTACGCTGTCAAGGACGAGTATTCCGGTAACGACTTTGGCCACCAAGAGGCCCGCGACGGTTATGACACCCAGGGTTCCTACTACGTTCAGCTTCCCGACGGTCGTCCTGCAGAAGGTCACCTACACTGTCAACGGCGACTCTGGCTTCGTGGCCGAGGTCAGCTACGAGGGCGAGGCGCAGTATCCTGCCGAACAGCCTGCTTACAAGCCCGCCCCCTCATATGCTTAGATCGCAAATCAAGTTCGGCTGTGATAATATTTATTAAGGAAATCCTTTACATTGTATATTTGTAAATAAATCATGAAAATGAGTTTTGTTTGTTAGTAGAGCCATGGATGAAAGAAAAACAAATATCTTTTTGAGGTGTAAGTGATGTAAACATACTCTGTATATACATTGGAACATCTATTCTCTTCTACACTATATAAACGGTTGATTTACATAAGACTTAAATGTATGTCTACACACATATACAAACACGCATACAGAAACTACACAGATACATATATTTATACATACATACGCTCACACACACAAGTTTTTATAGATAAGATACAGATAGAATATATATATCGAAAGTATATTTATATATGTGATATATTCATATATTCATTTATATGTATAAACACCCATATACAGATCATGGCGTTTTGAACTAAGACAATGAACAAGAAATTTAGAATAAAAGGATCGCGTGGGTTGAAAAGCAAAAAAAAATCACCGATGGAAGTAAGTACTTACTATTGAACGATGGCTATGCCTTCATTGAACCTTATTGCTCAAATTATACCGGGAAACAACATAAATACATCTGAGTAGATTGAAAAAAAAAAAAAAAAACACTCGGGGCTTTTGTTTATGAGACTTTTGCTGCACTTTTTCCAACTTTCCGTAGTATAAGTATCTCACTTCAGTAGGTGTCAACATATATTAATAGTAGTGATGATATAATGGTGGTGAAATTATCAATAATGCTAGCTAGGAGGAGGGAGAATAAGCACAAAACTTATTTTATGTATTTATTTTACAGGGAACAGTTTACTACTGACGGATATCGTGTAAAGTAAAATAAAGAAAAGTAATATCCTAACCAAGATCCTAATCTACCTTTCCAAGATAACAGCGAAATAGAAATTAAACCCTTTTTATCTAGAGCGAATGGGTGTGAATACTAGTAAGAAAGTGTCACACATCTATATACTTGTGTATCGCGTAATATCACCCTGTAAATATAAACTATTCCGTTATGTGAAGTGAATAGAAGAACCGCCACAAGGTCACTCTGAACTCTTTGGAATCTTGATCCATTTCATCACAGAGGCCCCTATTTCCCCTGAAAAGTGTATTGGGGGATAATTGTGCCATAACTCTCAATAGTTTACTGAGGGAGACAAATATGTTAAACAAAATTGAATTAAATATTTAGCAGTATTTTTATACTTTTAAGCAGTATTTATTTATGCTGTGATTTTTAATATAATACTTAGTATTATTTATTTTTCCCAAAATCTTGTATACACACATTGTCCACATATTACATATTTATATGCGTTTATATATAAGATACAGATAGAATATACATATGGAAACTATGTATATATGTGATATATTCATATATTCATTTATATGTATAAACACCCATATACAGATCATGGCGTTTTGAACTAAGGTAACGAACACGAAATTTAGAATAGAATGATTATGTGGGTTGAAAAGCAAAAAAAAAAATCACCGATGGAAGTAATTACTTACTATTGAACGATGGCTATGCCTTCATTGAACCCCATTGCTCAAATTATGCCGGGAAACAAAATGAATACAACTGAGCAGAATAGAAAAACACTCGGGGCTTTTGTTTATGAGACTTTTGCTGCACTTTCTCCAACTTTCCCTGGTATATGTATCTCACTTTAGTAGGTGTCACCATAAATTAATAGTAGTGATGATATAATAGTGGTGAAGTTAATATCAATAATGCTAGCTAGGAGGAGGGAGAATAAGCACAAAACAATCTTTTATTTATTTATTTTACAGTTAACAGTTTACTACTGACGGATATCGTGTAAAGCAAAAAAAAAAAAAAAGAAAGAAAGAAAAAAAACGTAATATCCTGACCAAGATCCTAATCTACCTTTCCAAGATAACAGCGAAATAGAAATTAAACCCTTTTTATCTAGAGCGAATGGGTGTGAATACTAGTAAGAAAGTGTCACACATCTATATACTTGTGTATCGCGTAATATCACCCTGTAAATATAAACTATTCCGTTATGTGAAGTGAATAGAAGAACCGCCACAAGGTCACTCTGAACTCTTTGGAATCTTGATCCATTTCATCACAGAGGCCCCTATTTCCCCTGAAAAAAGTATTGGGGGATGGTTGTGCCATAAGTCTCAATAGTTAACTGAGGGAGACAAATACATTAAACAAAATTTAATTAAACGTATTTTATGCAGTATTTATACTGTGATTTTTAATATAATGCTTAGTATTATTTTTCCCAAAATCTTGTATACACACATTGTCCACATATTACATATTTATATGTATGTTTATATATACATATATAAGAGTACAAAGACATGCACATATGTTTATATATAAGATACAGATAGAATATACATATGGAAACTATGTATATATGTGATATATTCATATATTACATTCATATTTGATAAATATAATAAAAGAGCGAATGATAAGTGAACGGCCACGCAGAGAATACCCCTGAGGTTGTGTCAGGCATCCTCTGAAGGCCGTGACAGCTTTGCGTAGGGTGGAGCTTAGAGTATATAAGGTAAACGCGTTCTCCGTTCTCCATCAGTTAGAAGCTCATCCTCAACATGTCTCCCAAGGTAGTGAGTCAGGATGACTTGCAATTGATAAGAGACAGAATGGAAACAAGGCTGGCTTTATATCGCGATAACCGTAATTATTTATTTATTTATCTTATTTTTATGTAATGTTTCAGTTCATCATCATTGCCGCCCTTGCGGTCGTGGCCCTCGCCCGCCCTGATCAGGCCCCAGCCTATGGCTATGCAGCCCCTACACCTGCTCCTGCACCTGCCAAGTACGACTTCAACTATGCTGTCAAGGACGAGTACTCCGGTAACGACTTTGGACACCAGGAGGCCCGCGACGGTTATGACACCCAGGGTTCCTACTACGTTCAGCTTCCCGACGGTCGTCCTGCAGAAAGTCACCTACACTGTCAACGGCGACTCTGGCTTCGTGGCCGAGGTCAGCTACGAGGGCGAGGCGCAGTATCCTGCCGAACAGCCTGCTTACAAGCCCGCTCCCTCATATGCTTAGATCGTAAATCTAGTTCGGCTGTGATGATATTTATTAAGGAGGCCCTTTACATTGTATATTTGTAAATAAATCATGAAAATGAGTTTTGTTTGTTAGTAGAGCCATGGATGAAAGAAAAACAAATATCTTTTTGAGGTGTAAGTGATGTAAACATAGTCTGTATATACATTGGAACATCTATTCTCTTCTACTCTATATAAACGGATGATTTACGTAAGACTCTTAAATGTATATGCCTACACACATATATACAAACACGCATACAGATAACCACACATACATATATTTATACATACATACATACGCGCACAAATATACTTTTTTATAGATAAGACAGATAGAATATATATATATATCGAAAGTATATATATATGTGATACATTCATATATTCATTTATATGTATACACACCCATATTCAGATCATGGCTTTTTGAACTAAGACAATGAACAAGAAATTTAGAATAAAAGGATTACGTGGGTTGAAAAGCAGGTGTGAATGAGTCAACCAATACCTTAAAAAAAAAAAAAAAAATCACCGATGGAAGTAATTACTTACTATTGAACGATGGCTATGCCTTCATTGAACCCCATTGCTCAAATTATGCCGGGAAACAAAATGAATACATCTGAGTAGGATAGAAAAAAACAAAAAAACAAAAAACACTCGAGGCTTTTGTTTATGAGACTTTTGCTGCACTTTCTCCAACTTTCCCTGGTATATGTATCTCACTTTAGTAGGTGTCACCATAAATTAATAGTAGTGATGATATAATAGTGGTGAAGTTAATATCAATAATGCTAGCTAGGAGGGGGGAGAATAAGCACAAAACAATCTTTTATTTATTTATTTTACAGTTAACAGTTTACTACTGACGGATATCGTGTAAAGCAAAAAAAAAAAAATAGTAAGAAAGTGTCACACATCTATATACTTGTGTATCGCGTAATATCACCCTGTAAATATAAACTATTCCGTTATGTGAAGTGAATAGAAGAACCGCCACAAGGTCACTCTGAACTCTTTGGAATCTTGATCCATTTCATCACAGAGGCCCCTATTTCCCCTGAAAAGTGTATTGGGGGATAATTGTGCCATAACTCTCAATAGTTTACTGAGGGAGACAAATATGTTAAACAAAATTGAATTAAACATATTTATGCAGTATTTTTATACTTTTGAAGCATAATATTTATGCTGTGATTTTTAATATAATGCTTAGTATTATTTTTCCCAAAATCTTGTATACACACATTGTCCACATATTACATATTTATATGCGTTTATATATACATATATAAGAGTACAAAGACATGCACATATGTTTATATATAAGATACAGATAGAATATACATATGGAAACTATGTATATATGTGATATATTTTTATATTCATATATATGTATAAAAAAAAAAAAAAGAAAGAAAGAAAGAAAAAAAACGTAATATCCTGACCAAGATCCTAATCTCCCATCCCAGATAACAACCAAATAGAAATTAAACCATTTTTGTTTACAGCGAATGGGTGTGAACACTAGTCAGAAAGTGTCACACATCTATGTATATACACCTTGTGTATCGCATGATACCACCTTGTAAATATAAACTATTCCGTTATGTGAAGCGACTAGAAGCGTCACAGGGTTACTCTGAACTCTTTGGAATCTTGATCAAAGAGGCCCCTATTTCCCCTGAAAAAAGTATTGGGGGATGGTTGTGCCATAAGTCTCAATAGTTAACTGAGGGAGACAAATACATTAAACAAAATTTAATTAAACGTATTTTATGCAGTATTTATACTGTGATTTTTAATATAATGCTTAGTATTATTTTTCCCAAAATCTTGCATACACACATTAAGCACATATTACATATTTATATGTATGTTTATATATACATATATATACAAAATTGTGTATGAATATAATCATACATACCTATCAGATGTATGTTTATACATAAACATTAGCAATATATGAGTTTTTATACGCATAAACATTTTCTGTGCATAACTGTATGTGAAATTTGTCTTCACTTGCATAAATCACACATGAAATTTGGCGAATGTATAAATTAGTATATATATCTATATATTGTATATACATGGTATATATATCATATATACAATTGTATATAGGCATACATAAATACATGCGTTTATGTGGATGGATAAATACGCTTAGCACGTCTGTTTGGAGTCTTACTTTTCTACTGTTCTCTATATATGAACATATATATCGTAGTTTTAGGTAGAGCAAGTGTACTTTTTTTATCACGATTTTACATAATGAAAAGCAGCTACTGTCGCTACTAATAATGGAAGTGGAAAATATTTCTATACATTACATTCATATTTGATAAATATAATAAAAGAGCGAATGATAAGTGAACGGCCACACAGGGAATACCCCTGAGGTTGTGTCAGACATCCTCTGAAGGCCGTGACGTCATTGCGTAGGGTGGAGCTTAGAGTATATAAAGTGAAGGCGTTCTCCGTTCTCCATCAGTTAGAAGCTCATCCTCAACATGTCTCCCAAGGTAAGCGAGTCAGGTTGACTTGCAACTGATAAGAGACAGAATAGGAAACTAGGCTGATTATATCGCGATAGCCGTAATTATCTATTTATTTATCCTTTATTTTTATGTAATGTTTCAGTTCATCATCATTGCCGCCCTTGCGGTCGTGGCCCTCGCCCGCCCTGATCAGGCCCCAGCTATGGCTATGCAGCCCCTACACCTGCTCCTGCACCTGCCAAGTACGACTTCAACTACGCTGTCAAGGACGAGTACTCCGGTAACGACTTTGGCCACCAGGAGGCCCGCGACGGTTATGACACCCAGGGTTCCTACTACGTTCAGCTTCCCGACGGTCGTCTGCAGAAGGTCACCTACACTGTCAACGGCGACTCTGGCTTCGTGGCCGAGGTCAGCTACGAGGGCGAGGCGCAGTATCCTGCCGAACAGCCTGCTTACAAGCCCGCCCCCTCATATGCTTAGATCGCAAATCAAGTTCGGCTGTGATAATATTTATTAAGGAAATCCTTTACATTGTATATTTGTAAATAAATCATGAAAATGAGTTTTGTTTGTTAGTAGAGCCATGGATGAAAGAAAAACAAATATCTTTTTGAGGTGTAAGTGATGTAAACATAGCTCTGTATATACATTGGAACATCTATTCTCTTCTACACTATATAAACGGTTGATTTACATAAGACTTAAATGTATGTCTACACACATATACAAACACGCATACAGAAACTACACAGATACATATATTTATACATACATACGCTCACACACACAAGTTTTTATAGATAAGATACAGATAGAATATATATATCGAAAGTATATTTATATATGTGATATATTCATATATTCATTTATATGTATAAACACCCATATACAGATCATGGCGTTTTGAACTAAGACAATGAACAAGAAATTTAGAATAAAAGGATCGCGTGGGTTGAAAAGCAAAAAAAAAAATCACCGATGGAAGTAATTACTTACTATTGAACGATGGCTATGCCTTCATTGAACCTTATTGCTCAAATTATACCGGGATACAACATAAATACATCTGAGTAGATTGAAAAAAAAAAAAAAACACTCGGGGCTTTTGTTTATGAGACTTTTGCTGCACTTTTTCCAACTTTCCGTAGTATAAGTATCTCACTTCAGTAGGTGTCAACATATATTAATAGTAGTGATGATATAATGGTGGTGAAATTATCAATAATGCTAGCTAGGAGGAGGGAGAATAAGCACAAAACTTATTTTATGTATTTATTTTACAGGGAACAGTTTACTACTGACGGATATCGTGTAAAGTAAAATAAAGAAAAGTAATATCCTAACCAAGATCCTAATCTACCTTTCCAAGATAACAGCGAAATAGAAATTAAACCCTTTTTATCTAGAGCGAATGGGTGTGAATACTAGTAAGAAAGTGTCACACATCTATATACTTGTGTATCGCGTAATATCACCCTGTAAATATAAACTATTCCGTTATGTGAAGTGAATAGAAGAACCGCCACAAGGTCACTCTGAACTCTTTGGAATCTTGATCCATTTCATCACAGAGGCCCCTATTTCCCCTGAAAAGTGTATTGGGGGATAATTGTGCCATAACTCTCAATAGTTTACTGAGGGAGACAAATATGTTAAACAAAATTGAATTAAACATATTTATGCAGTATTTTTATACTTTTGAAGCATAATATTTATGCTGTGATTTTTAATATAGTACTTAGTATTATTTTATATGTATGTTTATATATAAGATACAGATAGAATATACATATGGAAACTATGTATATATGTGATATATTCATATATTCATTTATATGTATAAACACCCATATACAGATCATGGCGTTTTGAACTAAGGTAACGAACACGAAATTTAGAATAGAATGATTATGTGGGTTGAAAAGCAGGTGTGAATGAGTCAACCAATACCTTAAAAAAAAAAAAAAATCACCGATGGAAGTAATTACTTACTATTGAACGATGGCTATGCCTTCATTGAACCCCATTGCTCAAATTATGCCGGGAAACAAAATGAATACAACTGAGCAGAATAGAAAAACACTCGGGGCTTTTGTTTATGAGACTTTTGCTGCACTTTCTCCAACTTTCCCTGGTATATGTATCTCACTTTAGTAGGTGTCACCACATATTAATAGTAGTGATGATATAATAGTGGTGAAGTTAATATCAATAATGCTAGCTAGGAGGGGGGAGAATAAGCACAAAACAATCTTTTATTTATTTATTTTACAGTTAACAGTTTACTACTGACGGATATCGTGTAAAGCAAAAAAAACAAAAAACACTCGGGGCTTTTGTTTATGAGACTTTTGCTGCACTTTCTCCAACTTTCCCTGGTATATATATCTCACTTTAGTAGGTGTCACCATAAATTAATAGTAGTGATGATATAATAGTGGTGAAGTTAATATCAATAATGCTAGCTAGGAGGGGGGGGATAAGCACAAAACTATCTTTTATTTATTTATTTTACAGTTAACAGTTTACTACTGACGGATATCGTGTAAAGTAAAAATTAAAAAGTATAGTATCTTGACCAAGATTCTTATCTACCCATTCCAGATAACAGCCAAATAGAAATTAAATCATAATTGTCTAGAGCGAATGGGTGTGAATACTAGTAAGAAAGTGTCACACATCTATGTATATACACCTGTGTATCGCATGATACCACCTTGTAATTATAAACTATTCCGTTATGTGAAGTGAATAGAAGAACCGCCACAAGGTCACTCTGAACTCTTTGGAATCTTGATCCATTTCATCACAGAGGCCCCTATTTCCCCTGAAAAGTGTATTGGGGGATAATTGTGCCATAACTCTCAATAGTTTACTGAGGGAGACAAATATGTTAAACAAAATTGAATTAAACATATTTATGCAGTATTTTTATACTTTTGAAGCATAATATTTATGCTGTGATTTTTAATATAATACTTAGTATTATTTATTTTTCCCAAAATCTTGTATACACACATTGTCCACATATTACATATTTATATGCGTTTATATATACATATGTATACAAAATCTATACATACCTATCAGATGTATGTTCATACATAAACATAAGCAATGTAAGCAAGTTTTTATACTCATAGATATTTACTGTGCATAGCTGTGTGAAATTTGTCTACGCTTGCATAAATCACACATATATTTTGGCGAATGTATAAATTAGTATATATATTTATATATTGCATATATATGTTATACATATTATATATATTGTTATATGTAGGCTTACATAAATACATGCGTTTATGTGGATGGATAAATACGCTTAGCACGTTTGTTTGGAGCCTTACTTTTCTACTGTTTTCTCTATATGAACATATATATATATATATTGTAGTTTTAGGTAGAGGAAATGTACTTCTTTTTATCAAGATATTTCATTATGAAGAGCAGCTACTGTCGCTATTTATAACGGAAATGGAAAAATATATTCATATATTACATTCATATTTGATAAATATAATAAAAGAGCGAATGATAAGTGAACGGCCACGCAGAGAATACCCCTGAGGTTGTGTCAGGCATCCTCTGAAGGCCGTGACAGCTTTGCGTAGGGTGGAGCTTAGAGTATGTAAGGTGAACGCGTTCTCCGTTCTCCATCAGTTAGAAGCTCATCCTCAACATGTCTCCCAAGGTAAGTGAGTCAGGATGACTTGCAATTGATAAGAGACAGAATGGAAACAAGGCTGGCTTTATATCGCGATAACCGTAATTATTTATTTATTTATCTTTATTTTTATGTAATGTTTCAGTTCATCATCATTGCCGCCCTTGCGGTCGTGGCCCTCGCCCGCCCTGATCAGGCCCCAGCCTATGGCTATGCAGCCCCTACACCTGCTCCTGCACCTGCCAAGTACGACTTCAACTATGCTGTCAAGGACGAGTACTCCGGTAACGACTTTGGACACCAGGAGGCCCGCGACGGTTATGACACCCAGGGTTCCTACTACGTTCAGCTTCCCGACGGTCGCCTGCAGAAAGTCACCTACACTGTCAACGGCGACTCTGGCTTCGTGGCCGAGGTCAGCTACGAGGGCGAGGCGCAGTATTCTGCTGAACAGCCTGCTTACAAGCCCGCCCCTTCATATGCCTAGATCGTAAATCTAGTTCGGTTATGATATTTATTAAGAATCTCTACATTGTATATATATAAATAAATAATGAAAATGAGTTTTGTTTGTTAGTAGAGCTATGGATGAAAGAAAAAATATATTTTTGAGGTGTAAGAGATATAAACATAGTCTGTCTGTACACCGAAACAACTCATCTCTACTCTATACAAACGGATTATTTACATAGACTCCTAAATGGATATGAATGTATGTGCCTACACACATATGTAAACACGCATATACATAATCACGTATATATACATATATACGCATTTATACAAATGTGCACACACACATGTGTAAATACATAGACATGCACACGTTTATATACATATATAAGAGTACAAAGACATGCACATATGTTTATATATAAGATACAGATAGAATATACATATGGAAACTATGTATATATGTGATATATTTTTATATTCATATATATGTATGAATACATACAGATCTAGACATGGCGTTTTGAACTAAGGTAACGAACACGAAATTTAGAATAGAATGATTATGTGGGTTGAAAAGCAGGTAGGAGTGAGGCAAATGACACCTATAAAAGAAAAATAAATAAATAAATAAAAAATAACCAATAGGATTTCAGAGAGGAATTCCTTTTTATTGAACGATAGCTTTGGCTTTACTGAACCCCATTGCTAAAGTTATGCCAGGAAACAAAATGAATACAACTGAGCAGAATAGAAAAACACTCGGGGCTTTTGCTCAACTAGAGCTATGGGACCTTTGCTGCACTTTCCTTGGTATAAGTGTCTCACCTAGTAGGTGTCACCACATATTAATAGTAGTGATGATATGATGGTGATGAAGCTAGTGTCGATAATATGTCTTTACACATGAATACAAACACTGAATGTAAGAATTTCTATGCGTAGCTAGGAGTTGGGGGGGGGGGGGATAGGCACAAAACTATTTTTATTTATTTTGTAGGGGGCAGTTTACCTCTGACGCATACCGTGTAAAGTAAAAATTAAAAAGTATAGTATCTTGACCAAGATTCTTATCTACCCATTCCAGATAACAGCCAAATAGAAATTAAATCATAATTGTCTAGAGCGAATGGGTTTGAATACTAGTCAGAGGTGTTACACATCTATATAACTGTGTATCGCATGATACCACCCTGTAAATATAAACTATTCTGTTATGTGAAGCGACTGGAAGAAGCGTCACAAGTTCTCTTTGAACGCTCTGGAATGATAAACCATTTTATCACAGGTGCCCCTATTTCCCATGAAAATTGTATTGGGGGATGAGTGTGCCACAGGTCTTGTATTATTTGTTTATTGCACACAGCAAATAATAGGTATTTGGGAAAAAAATGAAAACAATTATTAATGCAAGTAGAAAATTAATTTTGTTTGGAAAGAATTGAAAAAAGTGGATTTCTGTTTTGCAGTATCCCCGCAAAATACTGTGGGTACGCCTTTGTTTTTGAGCCATGTGTTTGGCGGAGGTCATGAGTGATTCGCTAATGAACTTTCCAGAATTATTATGTGGTATGATATCTGAGCAGGCTTTGGAAGCATGTAACATTTAATGGTATTGTTCTACATTTATGTCATAATAGCTGAAATGGTTAAACATCATACAATGAATGATAAAGATGATCATGAATGATGGAATTTTCTGGTGAAATCTTATAGGAAGTTGATGTTTGTTTTAGGGATTTGTCGTGAGTTCATGTTACGAGGACTTGCTTGTCTACAAGAACAGACTTTTGGGGTTTGTTGTGATTTCTTAATATGAAGATTTAATTGTCTACAAGAACTGGGATTCGTGATGGTCAAAAAAAAAGTCAAAATGTTTTTCTGTCTGATTCAAGATGACTCGTGAAGTGTTTCGTTTTCTCAGTGAATAAATTATAAATTATGCATATTTATGCAGTATTGTTATACTTTTCAAGCATATTTATATTGTGATTTTTAATATGTTTACTTATTTTTCCATACAAATTCTTTCTTTATTTATAGATTTTTAAACGTTTAGCATTTTAATCCCACAAGCTATTCGCCGCTAATGAGCTTAGATGTTGACCCGGCAGATAATTTTAATTATTTATCATTCTAAAATCTTGTATACACACATAGTGCACATGTGTATTTTGTGTTATGCGTATGCATGTATTTATGAATGTATAAAAGTGATTTTCATTGTTCATAGTACTATAAAAATCAGCTACTGTTACTACTAATAAGGAAACCGGAAAAAATATATATATTTAATTCAGATTTTATAAAAATAATGAAAAAGCAGATGGTGAGTGAAAGGCCACACAGGAAACATCCCTGAGGTTGTGTTAGACATCCTCTGAAGGCTGTGACGTCATTGCGTAGGGTGGAGCTTAGAGTATATAAAGTGAAGGCGTTCTCCGATCTCCATCAGTTAGAAGCTTATCCTCAACATGTCTCCCAAGGTAAGTCAGCCAAGTTAACCTGCAACTCATCAGAAACAAAATGGAAACAGTGCTTTATATCTCAATAACCGTATTCACACAAACATATATGTATATTCATGTTATTTTGAAATATGTTCCAGTTCATCATCGTTGCCGCCCTTGTGGCTGTGGCCCTCGCCCGTCCTGATCAGGCCCCAGCCTATGGCTATCCAGCCCCTACACCTGCTCCAGCACCTACCAAGTACGACTTCAACTACGCCGTGAAGGACGACTACTCCGGTAATGACTTCGGCCACCAGGAGGCTCGTGACGGTTATGACACACAAGGATCCTACTTCGTTCAGCTTCCTGACGGTCGTCTGCAGAAAGTCACCTACACTGTCAACGGCGACTCTGGCTTCGTGGCCGAAGTCAGCTACGAGGGCGAGGCGCAGTATCCTGCCGAACAGCCTGCTTACAAGCCCGCCCCCTCATATGCTTAGATCGAAAATCTAGCTCGGCTGTGATAGTATTTATTAAGGATACTCTCTATACTGTATATTTGTAAATAAATCAAGAAAATCAGTTTTGTTCGTTAATAGAACATAGAAGAAAGAAAAACAAATAATACATATATGAGATGAGATATGTATGCAGTCTGCATATACATTGAAACATATCATTTCCGCTATCACATATAAAATAATGATATACATAGATTAAAATGGATATGAACATATGTCCCTGCACACATACAAATACGTGTATGCACACCTACACACATACACGCACACATATATATGTGTACACACACACGTATATGCATCCATCCTTCCCATAATTTTGTCCAAGAGGTGAAGTACTTGGGTCTATTTTTTTTTTACTCAAAGCTTACATGGGTGTCTGACATCAAATAGTTAAAGGTGAAAACTACAAAAGCGCGTAGTATTTTGCGAGTTCTTTCACACCTATCTTGGGGTGCAGACCGCACAACGCTTCTGTGGCTATACTTGACTATGGAAGGTAGTATCTCCTTATTACTGCAATTATAAACGCATAAAAAGTGCATCATTGCCGCCCTTGTTGCTATAGCTTTTGCCCGCCCTGATCAACCTCCAGCCTATGGGTATGATGCTCCTGCACCTGCTAATTAGGACTTTAACTACGCCGTCAAGGACTACATGCAACTTCCCGACGGTCGTCTACAGAAGGTCACCTGCACTGTCAACGGCGACACCGGCTTCTTGGCCAAGGTCTGCTACGAGAGCGAAGCTCAATACCCTGCCGAACGGATTGCTTACAAGCCCGCTGCTTAGCACTCTTAGATCGAAAACCTATTTTGTCTGTAATATTTATTACGCCTACCTTCTCAACGTTTGTAAATTAATCTTCCATATATATCTGTTGTTCATTAAACATAAACGTTGCGTATATTTCAATTATGTTTATATACAAATACATACACACACTGACATAAGCACAGACACACGCATTTATATATGTACATATACAAACTGATAAAAAAACAATATATATATATACATATAAAATTGAACGTGTATATACATATGATATATTTATGTATAAATGTATAAACATTCATGTAAACATATCTGGACAAGGTGTATTGAACTGAGGCACCGAACAAGAAATTTAGAAAAGAATGTATTTACCTTGATTTAACTCTATTGCTTGAGTTATGTCTTGACATAAGAAACAAACAAACAAAAAAAATGACAAGGAAAGCAGGGAAAGACTAACAGTGGGACATTTAGTGTCACATAACAGTGTGGTGAGTTTGTCAGCACTCGGGGCTTTTGCCTAATTACAACTTTGAGTCTGTTGCTGTAATTTTTACCACTTTCCCTGAGAATATTTATCTCACCTTAGTAGGGGTTACACATATTAATAGCAATAATAAGGGTATAACTAATGATAAATATAATAATATCGGTAATGATATGCTTCTCCACATACATGGACTGTATATAAGAATTATTGGTGTAAATAGGAGGGGGCAGAATGGGCACACACACCTTTTTTTTATAATTAACTTGTTTTATTGGGAATAGTTTTCTACTGATGCGTATCATCGTGCCATTGGTAAAGCACAACAGTAAAAAAGTATAGTATCCTCCCTTAACAAAATTCGAAACTGTAGCCAAACAGGTAATTTAAACCATTCTTGTATAGAACGCGTGGGATCGAATATTGATTAGGGAAGCTGTCACACTATATATTTGCGTATCACATAATACTTCAGTGTATCTCTTACCTAGTAACAACACTACAACGCAGGTTTTGCGGAATATGACCTTCGAACAGGGGGCTGTTCTATGGAATGGTGGCAAAGCGTGTTATACAGCACAACCCGCTCGTCACGACCCTGAAGCCATTTCATAAGTAGGTAAAAGTTTTTCTTTTGTATTTATAACTTCATTTTCCATTTCTTTCTGTTCATATTGTTAATTTTACCTTTATTATCAATTTTCCTTTTTATGTTTATTATATATACTAAAGTGTCCATACTTCTTTCTTTAAAAGTAATTAAAAGAAATAACAAATAAAGAGTAAAAGAACGAAACTAGGAAGAAAACGAAACCACAACATTAAAAGGAAAACTTGAGATCCTTCAGTTTGTATATTCTCAAAATTTACAATTCACATAACACATACTAACTGGCCACCTGTAAACAATAAAAATATACCTATCTCTCTCTCGTAGACTCAAGAAAACAACACCAAAGAGGCGTTCAGTGAGGGCGAGAACCACTGCTCATCAGACGAGCACAACAACCCAAGAGAGAGTTCGGCGGCAAGACACTTGTTTTTATATCCTCGCTTGTCTTGTCATAAGATTGTTTTTTATACAATATAAATAAAAATTAAAGTAACTTATTTAATAATGAATCCATTTCTGTTCATATTGTTAATTTTAACCTTTATTATCAATTTTCCTTTTATGTTTATTATATATACTAAAGTTTCCATACTACTTTATTTAAAAGTAATTAAAAAGAAGTAAAATAAAAAGTAAAAGAACGAAACTAGGAAGAAAACGAAACCACAAAGAGAGAGTTCGGCGGCAAGACACTTGTTTTTATATCCTCGCTTGTCTTGTCATAAGATTGTTTTTTATACAATATAAATAAAAATTAAAGTAACTTATTTAATCATTAATCCTTTCGCCCCGGATTTGTGTTCTGTCCCCTGTATTTTTTGTGCTCATTCCTTGAATTGGTGGGAAAAAGTTTTTCTTTTTAATACAGTTGAAATCGATACTGTTATTATTGTTATTGATGTTAGGATTATTAAATTGTTATTAAAATCTTGGTAGCATTTAAGACAATGAAATAATGCAAAAGACCCTTTCCAAAAGTTACAATAAATAAACTTTTATTACATTGGGCATGGCATGTATTCTTGCCATACGGAGCGATTTGGTTTAAAGAAATTGAAAATCAAAACTTCAGGCCGTGAAATAAAGTAAATAAAAAGTACAAGGTTAAACATATAGTAGGTAGAAAAAAAAACGGTAGCTGTCAAGAATGCCCTCAGATAGTGCTGAGCAAGTGCTGTTGCTGTCAAGAAGGTGTGATTCGCCTAGTCTGGACTCAATCACAGTGGTGGTACCTCGAGTCCACTACAATACCATCCTGTAAATATAAACTATTCCGTTTCGTGAGACGACTGGAAGAAGCGTTACAAATCCCCTCTGAACGCTCTGTAAGTCTTTGTTCATGGGATTTATGATGTTTATCTGTAAATGACCATACACATATAACAACACACGCACATATTTATATGCCTGTGTATATGTACGTATAAGTGTATGTACATATGATTATACATACATGTTTACACCCATATCAGATGTAGGCAAATATATATATATATATATATATATATATATATATATATATATATAATGTTTATATATAAACATTAGCAATGTATTTTATGCTCATAAACATGGAATGTGCATAAGTACGCATGTGAAATCTGTCTTCGTTTGCATAAATAACATATTTTGTAGTGGTATGAGTAAAACAGGATATAAAAAAAATATAAACATACATAAATACATGCGTAAATGTATATAGATATACACGCATAGCACGTCTGTTTTGAAATGGTCGTCTTACTTTTCAACTACTGTTTTCTTTCATTATATATGTGTGTGTATGTGTACCTTTGTACGTAAACAAATTCATACAAATGGATAAATATGAAGTTTTCTCAAGAAATTGTTACGGGAAAATATAAAACTGACTTCCATAGTTTGATACGTAAGAAAAGTAAATAGAGTGAAATGTATTTTTTATTAAGCCTTTGTAATATACATGAGATCGCACTTGTTACTACAGATAACAATGAAAAATAAACACAACTAAGACATTCATATATTTAATGTAGATTTAATTAAAATAATGGAAAAAAAAGTGAGTGATGAGTGAACGGGCATACGGTAGACATCCCTGAGGTTGAGTTAGGCATTCTCTGAAGGCTGTGACCACACTGCGTAAAGTGGAGCTTAAAGTATATAAAGTGAACACATTCTTTGATCTTCATCAGTTGGAAGCTCATCCTCAATACGTCTCCCAAGGTGAACCAGGTTCACTTGTAGCTTATCAGAAACAAAATGGAAAGGCCTTATATACCGACAACCGCAGTTATAAATTTTAAATGTAATTTTTAAATATTTTTCAGTTCATCATCATTGGCGCACTTGTGGCCGTGGCTCTTGCCCGCCCTGATTAGCCCCCAGCCAATGGATATGCAGCCCCTAGACCTGCTTTTGCACCTGCCAAATACGACTTCAACTACGCTGTCAAGGACGAGTACTCCGATAACGACTTCGGCTACCATGAAGCCCGCGACGGCGATAACACTCAGGGTTCTTACTACGTTCAGCTAATCGACAGTCGTCTACAGAAGATCACCTACATTATTAATGGTGACTCTGGCTTTGTGGCCGACATCAGCTACGAGGGCGATGCTCAATACCCTGCCGAACAGCCTGCGTACAAGCACGCCCCTTCATATGCTTAGATGTAAGGCCTAATAGGGTTGCAAATGATATTTATGAATAATGCCTTATATGTATAAAGTTTGTAATTAAATCTTACAAATATTACTTTCGTACCTTAGTTGAACCTTTAAGCATCTTTTTTTTTTTTAATTCACCTGTACTTGGTAGGTTCATCAAAGTTCTATGGGGAAAAAATCACACCGCCACTGATTACTAGCTACCATAAGGACTACTGAGCGGAGCTGCTTAGCAAGACATGATAATGATAACAGCAACAGTGATGGTGGTAATGATTGTAATAGGATAGTAATATAAAAACGAAAAACTATCTGTATGCTTGGTGCCCTGTCATGTGATTTCAGTATTAATTTATCTCCTCAGTAAGCATAAAAATACCAAGGAGATATCTTACAATACATGAATGATAAATCCAAAAAATATAAACTTCTAGTTGTCTTACTGAGTTACATACAAAAGTTGAATAAAACATTGTACGAGATCAAGAAGCATATCTACTTTTTTTCTTACTGACACTGCCATTGGCATTAATCACCGAGCAGCATACGTTTGCAATTTCAAGAGTAAAATAAAAAAATAAAAAAAAACACTCAAGAATTTAGGGATGGATAATTGACAAAACTCTAAAGTATATCACAGCGGCCAGAAAATGTCGGACTTAATTGGTTGGAATGTTTTTTTACCGAAATGTCGCGAATTTGTAGCTTACTAGTGCACAAGTAGGGAAATATGTTGCACAATAAATGTTATTCTTGATGCTGTTAAACAAACAAAAATTTACTCGTATACTGCATATTCAGCATTGGTTAAACGGTTTACGCATGCGTCGTAATGGAAAGATCGCCTTTTGACACCCACGATGCACATGTACACTACTTTCTGCAGTTTACAAGGTGAGGAAACTTTGTCCCAGTGTGATTACGCCTTTACCATAGTATTTCGGAGTTGTGATTAAAAAGATGCTACACACACACTCACACGCACACATATATATATAACTTTAGAATCGATGTTTCGTAGTTGGATAATAGAAAGGTGCAGATCTTGCAAGCATAATGCAATGGAATAAAACAAACATTACATGATCTGCAGGAAACTTCAGGTCGAGTAACCTTAATGCACAATAAAAGTAGATAACTATCCAAAGATAATAGTCCAATAACTTATGTCATTCTATTTGCTAACTCTTTCAAAACACGTAAACACATGGTCAACTATTTACAAATACATAATGTGTTTATTACCCTGTACATTCCTCACATATATTTATAAAAGACTACAAGTATGCCGTAGAATTTCAATAAGAATAAGAATCATAGCATCCTTAGTCATTGATTTAATAATAATAATTATAATAGCAGTCTTAGTTGCTAATAATAATAATGATAATGATAATAATAATATAGTATATATATATAAATATATATATATATGTATATATATATATATATATATATATATATATATATATATATATGTATATATACATGTATATTGCCGCAATAGTCCAGTAGTTAGAGCACTGGACTCCGATCCTCGTGGTCCCGAGTTCGGAAGAGTAAAAATGCCTGTGCTCCTACCATTGGCTTGAGCCCGATCTCAAGGCGAGGAAATGACATATCGCCCTGAGAAATCAAACACAGGTGACGAAGGGGAAATCGCCGCCGTGGCACAGGTGTTAGCGCTCCGAACCGCGGTTGATTAGGAAGGGTATCCAATCAGGCAAGGGTGGCACTCCCAAATAACCTCTCAATAGTGAAATGACAGAGGCACACACACATACATGCATTAATTAAAAAAGGAAAAGAAGAAGAAAGAAAGAGAGAAAAGAAAAGAAAGACGAAGAAGAAAAAATCAACATAAATGTATATACATACACACACACACACATGTATATATATATGTAGTAAGGAGAATAAAGCTGACATCATTATACATGGGAAAAAACTGATTAAGCTCACGCATAAAGCATTTTGTACACCTGGGCAGGAGAAACGATTTTTTTCCCGATTGACCAGAAAGCAGGACCGAGACGTTAAGCACATGCAGCACCTCCAGAGAACATAGATACAAAACTGACAAGAGATTCGAGACAGGAGGAGCAAGGAAGAGTATAAAAAGCAAGAGCAAGAGAGAGTACACGTACGTGAATAAAAGGAAGATATGTACAAGAATGAAAGGGAGGCCGGCAGAATGATGCAGTTGCTAGTAGAAATGTATACAGTAGAAGGAAAACACAGGCAGGATGGTTTAGAGGTAAAGTGGGTCTGTGAAAATGAGATATGATTTATGAATATGATGGGGCAGGATGCAGGTGGTAGACAGGACATATGGAGACAGATGATCCACTATGACGGTCCCTAACAGGAACAGCCAAAAGAAAATATCACACACACACACACGCACATATATATATACATATATGTGAATATGTATACACCCATACACACATAAACAAACACACATATATATGCATATATATGTATGTATATATACGCACAAATATATATACATAAACAAAGACATATATATGTTTGTGTGTACGTATAAACACAAATATGTGTGTGCGTGTATGCACATGTACATATTTATATATATATATATATATATATATATATATATACATATATACATATTCAATATTATATACATGTATGTATATATACATATATTCATACATACATACTTAAAAAAAAAAAAAAAAAAAAAAAAAAAAAAAAAAATATATATATATATATATATATATATATATATATATATATATATATACATATATAAATTTACATATAGATATATATGTGTTTTTACGCGTGGGTGTATGTGTGTTTATTCTTGTGTGTAATACAAATGAGATGCACAGCCGCACGCGCTCACACGAACAAATACGTAGTGTGCATAAATCACCCGGTACAAATATTACACCATGCAATATTTTACGGCCTTCCCTGTGCAGTGGCTGAAGCGAATGATGGATGATCCCTCAGGCTTGAGGCTTCTGGAGTCTACAGTATAGTTAGTTATTTGATTTACATCATGCCATCTATGGCACTTCAGCCATCATGACCGGTATATGAGATGAATGAAAAAAATGTAATTTAGGTATATTGTACACCCATGCATAATTTCAAAACGAATTTCAGTTTATCTTCATTGCCGCCCTTGTGGCTGTGGCTCTTGCTCGTCCTAATCAAGTCCCAGCGTATGGATATGCAGCCCCTACACCTGTTTCTGCTCCTATATACATAGATAGAGATATTAATTTTAAGAGATGCTTTTTTTAAGATGAATTTCATCATTATTCTTGGCATCATATATTTCATAACTACTGCAACCTATGCTTCATCATTCTAATCATACTGATATATGCCCATTTGCATGAGCTAATCTGCGCAAATGTACATACATGCATATCTGCCCTCTCTCTCACTCTTCTTACACACACAGACACTTATATATGTATACATTTACATATACATATACATATATGCACAGTTACGTATGTACCTTGTATGTATATGCATACACACACACATATATTCATACATACATATATATGTATATACATACACATACAAGTATATGTATATATATATTGTGTATGTGTGCGTATCTGTGTATATATGTATGCTTGTGTGTGTTTGCGTATGTGTGCAGTGTATGTAGTTATAACTATATTTTTGATATCCATATACATTATGCATATATAGATATATGTTTGATCAAAAATATCCACAGACTCCAGGGTTTCTTTGTTCGAGTGCATACTTCTTCAAACTTTTAATGCAACTACTGGCACAGATAGAAGCAAAGAGACAGATAAAAAATAAGAGAGAGGAGGGATGAGAGTGACATAGTTTTAGAACTCATGTTCATCACATCTTGAATTTGTATGCAAGAGTTAAAGTTACCTTAATGCATAATAAATGTAGATACCCATCCAATACCTGTAATGCAGGATTTGGACAGTTGGACATGAATATTCAAATTTTACACTAAGTAACGTACATAGAGTATCAATGCACATATATCCATACACATCCATATATATATATATATATATATATATATATATATATATAATGTAAATATATGTGTGTATATGTATATACATACACATATATATGTAAATATATATGAATATGGATATATGTCATAATATATATGTATACACATATAAATGTATATGTATATTCACGCACACATGCACACACACACACACACACACACACACACACATATATATATGAATATATAGGTATAGATATGTATGTATATATATATATATATATAAACCTATATTTAAATGTATACAAACATATACATATATGTATACATATACACTTATATTTATGTACATATATTTAGACAAGCATTAGAGAATATATTTTCCAAATAGGCTTTGACAGATTTACGTTTTCAATATTATTCTGGAGTACACATAGGTTATATGGAAACAAAGGATGAATAAGCAGATAAAAGCTATGTCAGATAAACAGCCAAATTATGTGGCCATTTGATTAAAATAAGAAGTAAAATAAAAGTAACGATGGCAAAGGTACTTCTAAATATGAAAATGTTCAGATATATGGCCTCATGTGGTAGAAAAACCCACAATGTAAAAAACTAGATTTATTGAAAATGAAAATGAGACGACAGTTTCGGAATCCACCTGGATTCCATCCTCAGGTCTCATGTGTACATACCATTTTCACTGGTATAGGCACTAATAAAACCCAGTACATTTCGTTTTTTTTTTCTTATTGAGTTATCATATTTAATTATATCAAATGGATGTCACTAAACTTAAATCGTCATGGTATTTTCTAAGACATGTTTGTTAAATAAAACAGATCAAAACTAGAAACAAGCACCCAGAGAAAGATATGTGGTTGAAGAGTGATCGCTTGCATAGTGAACATCCCTGAGGTCTGGTTGGCAATAGACTTCTTTCTCCGTGAAGGTCGTGACGTCATTCCGGAGGGTGGAGCTTGGAGTATATAAAGCGAAGCATTCTTCGATCTAGTTATAGCTTCTCAACATGTCTCCTAAGGTAGGTTAGAAAAGAAATAAGGGATAAGTTGATTATGATTATTATTATCATTACTGCAATAGTAGTGTACGCTTCTTGATGATAACTTCAAAATATGTTTCAGTTCTTCATCTTTACTGCTCTCGTGGCCGTGGCTCTTGCCCGCCCTGATCAAGCCCCAGCCTATGGTTATGCAGCACCTACACCTGCTCCTGCACCTGCCAAGTACGACTTCAACTACGCCGTGAAGGACGACTACTCCGGTAATGACTTCGGCCACCAGGAGGCTCGTGACTGGTTATGACACACAAGGATCCTACTTCGTTCAGCTTCCTGACGGTCGTCTGCAGAAAGTCACCTACACTGTCAACGGCGACTCTGGATACGTGGCTGACGTCAGCTACGAGGGGGAAGCTCAATACCCTGCCGAACAGCCTTCTTACAAGCCTGCTCCTTCATATGCTTAGGTGCTAAATCTAGTTCGACAGAGACTGTATTTATAACTTTTATTTATTACTTATTTTTTAATAAATATTTAACAAAAAATATAAAATAATTTTGAGATTCCTATAAAGGAAAAGGAAATCGTCCAAATAGCATATGGTAATTAAAACTAATTTTGTATGTATCCATATCCATTTTGTATGTATTCATATCCATGTAATCTTGCAATTATTGATGATAGAAACATGTATGCTTCCATCTCCTTGTCGAATTACTTTTTTTGTTTAATATGCCGAGTCTAGTTTGTCTGTGATTGTATTTATAAATCTTACTGACTGAACTTCGACCATAAATCCCCCCCCCCATAAAAAAAAAAAAGATGGAAAAGAACTCACATTTCTACTCACGGTATACTCTTTCAGTAATACTATTTAGTTTTGCTATTTATGTACATATGTTAAAGGTAATTAAAGTTGGTATAGTTAAAAAAAACATTGTTAATAACTTCTATGCACTAAAGACTTCAAGAGACGTACAATTTCGTGTATTCAGGACGAAGATGCATGTAATATATATATAACAGTAATTATTCTATGGACATACATCTAATATATATATAACAGTAATTATTCTATGGACATACATCTATATCCATAACCTGCTACTGGTCATAGCTTCCATTTGGCATCGCTAACATTACAAAGTTCTCCCTAAATGAACTCACCACCCTATCTGTCTCTTCGTTTACGCTTTCTTCAAAGGGAAGAAAATTTACATTTTTTGTCGAGTAGCAGAGGACAAAGACGCTTCGTTGATTCTTATTAAAACCAGACCTTAACATTTATTAAATGTAATTTTGTTTGGATGTTGCATTATTCTATATTTAAAAATAAAATTATAATCTTGAAGTTTAAGCACCGAAAAGACATAGGAATCACATTATCAAAATCTTAACGTTTTTTTTAGCTGTGGCATAAATTATCCTCTTTTGGGGTTTTAAAAGAGTGGTCTTCTTGGAACGCTATTATCACTCGCCGCAAATTGCGCAAAGAATAAACATCCGTTTGTGGTTTGCGCATCCATAATCAATAAACATATATTAGCATCACCAGTATAGGGAAGTAGTTTCTAATGCTGCTCGGTAAATTCCTCTCTAGCTCAGCATATTGTTCTAAACTATGCCGTGAATGAGTATAGATATAACAGTAGAAAAAAATAATGTAATGTATTTCTCACTTCCCGGAGTAATTATTAGTGTACACCGTATTGACCATAAGCAACGTGAATTCCTAAAGGCATAGAAAATAAAGAATCTCAGCCTGAATAGCAAAAGGGGCATCGGCATAATCGGTAGGAAATCTACGGCTACAAAATTGTAATGTATTATTAAAATCTCAGCTTGAATGGCAAAGGGGGCAACGGTAATCGATAGGGAATGATCACCGCAGTTCTGCAACCGATGTTACCCCATGATGCCATATTTGACTGAAGGCATTATATGATAATCTCGACGGTAAACGCATATATAAAGATATACATTCATATGTATACATATATACATACACGCACATATGTATGTAAATATGTACACACACACACACACACATATATGTATGTATATATATGTATATCTATATCGTATATCTACACATACACGCGGGCACGCGCGCGAATGCACACACACATATATATGTATCATTATATATATTTAGATATACATATATATAGAGAAAGAAAGACATACATGTGTTCATACATATATATGTATGTATAAATATGAATATGTATTGGTATGCATATATGCGTGTCTATATATTCACTCATCCACACACGCCATGTGTACATACATACACATATATACATATATATGTGTGTGTATATCTATGTATACGTACAGGTACATTTATATATATGTATGTATATAGTATATACAGTGTATATATGCATTTATATAGTATATACAGTGTATATATGCATTTATATGCATGTGTATATATATATATATATATATATATATATATATATATATAAGTATACATACACTAACACACACATATACACCTTATGCTCCACACACATGATTATGTATGGACCTATATGTTATATTTCTCTCCAAAGACACATACAGATATGTGTATGTATATATACTATATTATAATTCCATATCAGCGGTATGTTTGTCTGTGCAGGTGTGTATGTTTTTGTATGTAGAAGTCGAGAATATCAGTGAGCTGATTTCCTAAGCCAGTAGGAAATATGACCAAGAGTCTAATGATGAAAAAAAAATCAAATACAAATATGATCTAGGTGATAAGGCTTCCACAGAGTGCAAACGCATATAAACTCTACGTTCTATATATTTGCCCCCTCCCCCAATATATATATACCTGTTCACACACACACACACACACACATATATATATGCGGTGTATATGTATACATGCAAACATCCGAACTTACGTGAACGCACAAATGAAAATGTATAAGTAAAATAAGTACATAACAGTTTCATTGACCTAAACACCAATGTTTGCTATTTTTAAAAAAGTCAAAACTAGAAACAAGCAACACCTTTGGATAATAAGGATAAGTCCGATATGCGAAGCTGAGCCTCGACCGGGCTAAGGGGGAGCCCAGCTTGTGCCGACTAATGTCGACTCGCTAACAGTGTGTCAGCAGGTGCTGACTCGGATGAGCTTAGCCCTTACCCACCGTGGTGCCCAGCCACAGCAGTAACCTCCAGGCGACAATTGCAACTTCTCGCGCCTGGGCGGGGCGCGAACCGCCAATCCCTCAGATGAGAGGACGACACGTTACCACTGTACTAGCCCGGAGGCTAACACCTTTGGGACATTCAGAAAGATAAGTGGGTGAAGATTGATCGCTTGCATAGTGAACATCCCTGAGGTCTGGGTGGCAATAGGCTTCTTTCTCCGTGAAGGTCGTGACGTCATTCCGGAGGGAGGAGCTTGGAGTATATAAAGCGAAGCGTTCTTCGATCTAGTTATAGCTTCTCAACATGTCTCCTAAGGTAGGTTAGAAGAAAAAAAAGAAATACGGGACAAGTTAATTGTGATTATTATGATTACTGCAATAGTAGTGTATGCTTCTTGATGGTAACTTCAAAATATGTTCCAGTTCATCATCTTTACTGCTCTCGTGGCCGTGGCTCTTGCCCGCCCTGATCAAGCCCCAGCCTATGGTTATGCAGCACCTACACCTGCTCCTGCACCTGCCAAGTACGACTTCAACTACGCCGTGAAGGACGACTACTCCGGTAATGACTTCGGCCACCAGGAGGCTCGTGACGGTTATGACACACAAGGATCCTACTTCGTTCAGCTTCCTGACGGTCGTCTGCAGAAAGTCACCTACACTGTCAACGGCGACTCTGGATACGTGGCTGACGTCAGCTACGAGGGGGAGGCTCAATATCCTGCCGAACAGCCTGCTTACAAGCCTGCTCCTTCATATGCTTAGATGCTAAATCTAGTTCGACTGAGATTGTATTTATAACTTATTTTTGAATAAATGTTTAACAAGAGATATCAAATATTTTTTTGAGATTCCTATAAAGGAAAAGAAAATCGTTCGAATAGTATATGGTAATTAAAGGTAATTTTCTATGGATCCATATCCATTTTGTATGTATCCATATCCATGTAATCTTGTAATTATTGATGATAGAAACATTGCTTTCATCTCCTTGTCGAATTACTTCTTTAAGCATAGCACACATATGTATAATCCATATCTACACACACTCATATAAATATATATATATAATGCAAAACACAAGAAGTAACGTTCAAATGTATTCGTTGTCTTCATTTACCAGAATTCTTAGAAGGTAAGGCTTCTATGCCTTTAGGAATTCACGTTGCTAAATGGTCAATACGGTGTATACAAATACTTACTCCAGGAAGTGAGAAATATATTACATTATTTTTTCCGCTATATATGTATTTTTTTCCACTGTTATATCTATATTCAATCGTGGCGCAGTGTAGTAAAATATACTGAACCAGAGAGGAATTTACCTAGCAGCATTCGAAACTACTCCCCTATAAATACTGGTGATGTTGATGATATAATTTACTACTGTTTACTAATCATGGATGTGCCATTCATGCTGAGATTCTTTGGTTTCTGTATCATTAGGAATTCACATTGCTAAATGGTGTCAATTCTAATAATTGCTCCGAGGAGTGAGGAATACATTACAATTTTGTAGCCGTAGATTCCGAAGGATGAATATTTTTTTCCCCCGCTATAGATCTATACTTTCACTCTTATATCTATGCCCAGATGAAAACCTCACTATCCCGTCTGCCTCTCGTGTCCGTTTTCTTTACGGGAAGAAAACTGATACTTATCTGTCGAGTATCAGAGGACAAAGACGCGTTGTTGATTCTTGTTAAAATCAAACTTTATCACTAAAGTCTGATTTTATTTGAATGCTGCATTAGTCTATAAATATGAATATGATTATAAGAATCTAGAAATTTAAGGACCTAAAAGATATAGGTATCACATTATTAACCTTAATCTTTACATTTTTTTAGCTGTGGCATAAACCATCCTCTTTTGGGGTTTTGAAATAATTATCTTACTGAAACCCTATTAATTATCTCTCGCCGCAGACTGTGCTAAGAATAACTATCGGTTTGTGGTCTGCACAGCCATGATTAGTAAAAATAAACTATATCATTAGCATCACTATTATTTATAAGAGAGTAGTTTCAAATGCTGCTCGGTAAATTCCTCTCTGGTTCAGCGTATTTTTCTAAACTGCGTCACGAATTAATATGTATATGTAAATATGTATATATATATTGTATATACACACACACACACACACATATATATATATATATATATATATATATATATATATATATATATATATATATAAGCGGAAAAAACGCTACAAAATTGTGCAATATATTTCTCACTTCTCGGAGTGATTATTAGATTAATTCGCATTGTCACCCTTTAGCAATGTGAATTTCCAAAGGCACAGACACCAAAGAATCTCAGCCTGAGTGACAAAAGAGGCAACGGTATAATCGATAGGGAATGATCACCGCATTTCTTCTGCAACCAATGTTATCCCATAAAGCCATTTTTGATGGAAGGCATCATATGCTTATCTCGACCGCAAAGGCATATATACAGACATATATCCATATGTATACACTCACACATGTACATAAATATGTATATATAAATATATATGTATATCTATATCATATATATATGTATAAATATACACATATAGATATATATGTATTATTATATATATATGTATGCATATGTGTATAGACACACACACACAGATATATATGTATGATTATATATACTTATATATGTATATATGCATAGGCACACACATACATACACACGTACACACATACACACACACGTACACACATACACACACACGTACACACATACACACACACGTACACACACACACATTTATGCATAAATGTGAATATGTATGTATGCATATATACGTGTATACATATTCATGCATGAATATTATATATGTGTGCTATACGTATAAATACATATATATATATATATATATATATATATATATATATATATTCACATACACATACACATACATTTGTGTATGCACATACGCAAATATATATATACTGTGTATATCTGTATGTATGTATATGTCTGTGTGTGTATGTATGTATGTATAAAGTATATACATAATATCTAACTATATATATGCACATATACATACATGTATATATATATAAACCATATGCACCGCACACATGTGTCCCTATAAGCTATATTTCTCTCAACACACACACAGGCATATGTGTGTATATATATATATATATATATGTATGTATATATATATATATGCATTATTATATATATGTATATGTATGAATTGTTAAATATATATCTCTATATATAGGCATTGAATTATAATTTCATATCGGAGGTATATATGTATGAGTACTGTATATTTGTATGTGTAGAAAGGGAAAAAGAGAAAACGCCTGCACATCCATGTGGCTTACATGTGATTAGGCCTCTCCCCTTCAAGGTAGTGACGTCATTCTGTAGGGTGGAGCCTTAGATATATAAACCGGTCACTTGCTACGGACATCAGTATCTGGATCAGCCTTATAATGTCATCTATAGTAAGTTAAAAATATTTGATATTAGATTTCTAACAATTTTCTGATAATTAACTTCATATTCCCATTAAAAGTTGAATGATAAAAAACTATCCACCATTGGTTTTCAGCTTCTAATTTTTGCTGCCCTCGTGGCCGTGGCCCTCGCCCGTCCTGATCAAGCCCCATCATATGGTTATGCCGCCCCTACACCTGCTCCAGCGCCTGCCAAGTACAATTTCAACTACGCTGTGAAGGACGACTACTCTGGTAACGATTTCGGCCACCAGGAAGCTCGCGATGGTTATGACACACAGGGTTCTTACTACGTGCAGCTTCCCGACGGTCGTCTACAGAAAGTCACCTACACTGTCAACGGCGACTCTGGATACGTGGCTGACGTCAGCTACGAGGGGGAGGCTCAATACCCTGCCGAACAACCTGCTTACAAGCCCGCCCCCTCATATGCCTAAGTTTATTATCTAATCTAATTGTAATATAACTTATTGTTCTTA